ACAAATGTTTAAAGCTTGTTCTTTAATTCCTCCTTTTTCTCAAGTCAGTCAGATAATGGAACCAAAAGGACTGAGTTCCACTGCTGTCCCACTAACTCCCATCCTCCCCTGGGTGGTTTGTCTGGACAGATGTCCAGCTCCAGCTGGGATTTAATTGGGAATCTCACACCAGCAATGGTTTCCTCCTAAATGAAATTTCTTTCTGCAATGCTGTAACTCCTTGCCACTTGCTCTCTCAGCTCTTTCAATCAAAATTGATAAGGAAATTGATACGGTCATTTGTCTTCTAGGTCCCCAGGGCAAAACAGGAAACCCTGGCAAGCCAGGCCCGAAGGGCAAAGAAGGAGGCATTGGCAAGGCAGGGCCTCGGGGGCCCAAGGGTTTGAAGGGCAATCCCGGGAAAAAYGGGCCCCCAGGGAAGAAAGGGCCCAAAGGGAACAAGGGTGAGCCCGGGATGCCAGGACCCTGCAGCTGCAGCGGCAGCAAAGCCAGATCTGCCTTCTCCGTGGCCGTGTCCAAGAGCTACCCCAGGGAGAGGCTGCCCATCAAGTTTGACAGGATCCTGATGAACGAGGGAGGACATTATAATGCTTCCAGTGGCAAGTTCATCTGCAGCATTCCAGGGATTTACTATTTCACCTACGATATCACCTTGGCCAACAAACACTTGGCCATTGGCCTGGTCCACAACGGCCAGTACAGGATCAAAACTTTTGATGCCAACACTGGGAACCACGACGTGGCCTCTGGATCAACCATCCTGGCTCTGAAGCAGGAGGATGAGGTGTGGCTGCAGATMTTTTACTCAGAGCAAAACGGGCTCTTTTATGATCCCTACTGGACAGACAGCTTATTTACTGGATTCCTGATTTATCCTGACCAAGATTATCTCAATGAAGTGTAGAATGAGGAACTATGGGAAAAAACAGGAAATGGACCTCAGTGCAACAAAGTGTTACCTGTAGATGAGACATGTGTGGGATTATCAGACAATTCCACATTTGCCTGTGGGATTATCAGGTGATATCCCTGTATTGGCTCTTTAGACATTTACTTGATGTCACCAAGCCCACAGGGTGCCAGACTTGCAGCAGTCTCATGGATGTCTCCATACCAAAGCCACCCATTGTGTATTCCGTGATTATTCCAACATGCCATGGACATGTAACTCAAATACTGGTGCAGAATGCTTTGGTTTTTACATTGTTATAATAAAGCATGGCAACCAACAGTGATTTCCTAAAGCTGAGCTGGGCAGTGCCATTGATGCTGGAGATTGTGTCACTGGGCCTCCTCCCCTACTCCCAGCATGATCCTTGTTAATGGAATTACACTTTGCCAGCCAGYTCAGAGTCAGGAATTTGTCAGCTGGAGTTGTAAAAGTCCCTCCCAGCCCCATCAAGGCAGTTCTGATAGCACAGACGTCTTGTCTGCACAGGAAGTGATAAAAAGGTCTGGTTTTGAAGGTTCAGGGCTCCTCTCAGGGCACAAACTGTTGCCTGAGCACCACTGGTGTCCCTCAGAGCAGGAATCAGGGTCACAGAAGGGTTTGGATTGGGAGGGACCTTAAAGCTCATCTTGTTCCACCCCTGCTGTGGGTAGGGACACYTTCCCTGGATTTCAGCCTSRCCTCCCAGTGCYGGGRTCCTTCAYAAGTAAAACTCCAGTGTCAAAGCCTGAACCTTGCCTGCAGAAACAGCAGGATTGCAATGAGGGACTRGGACTTATTACAGCTGTAAGACCTTAAATGTCTTCTGAGTTAAGAGCAGACATTGGCAGAATGAGAAAACCCTGCTGGCAGTGTGAGACACCTTCTAACGGGCCATCAGCTGACTTCCTCTTGTTTTCAAGCCGCTCCTTTTCTGCCCTCCAACCAGCAGTGGGGTACAAGACTTTCACCAGCTCTTGCATTTTCATTCAGTGCTGAGCAGAGAATTGTTCTTCTCCAGGCAGAAGCTGAAGGGAGCTTCTGTTCTGCAGGTGGAGGTAGGAAACACTGGAATATGCCAAGTGTTCATCACCCCTGAAATACCCACACAGCATCACTTAGTGCTTTGCTGCGTCTTCTGACTTGTGCATTTAGATTTTCTGAGTACCCGTCAGACATTTAGGAATGGGGTAAGCATTAACAGRAGGATGTTTGTAATACCAAGAAAGAGACAAAGACAGTCAGAACTTTATTTCATTTATTTTATTGTTAGTTTTCAGTGCACTGGAAGAGACTGGCCTTGCTGCTTTAGGCAATCTTCTTGCTGGTCCTTTTGTAGACTACACCAGAAGAAGTAGAAATCTGGAACAAAGAACAAACCAAAGATCTGGTTGAACAGTGCAATCAGAATTTCAGAGTCACAGGTGAGCAGCCCTGGGGATGGCTCAGAGCCTGTCCTTCACTTAAGATTTTTTCTAAACTTAGAGTTTTAARCCTGCTGCTCTTGAGGTTTTTGTTTTTTATGAACTAACCCTGGTTTTTGAGCACTCACCTCTACCAGCTTCCCCCCACAAATCTCTGCAGTGTGGCGGTAGTTGGGGAAATCAGCTACAAGTTTTCCATCTTCCAATTTAACAGTTGCCTGTAAGAGAGAAAAGGTTCATGTTCCGGGTGGCTGGAATTTCTGTTATCAGATATTCTGTAAACATCTGCACACCTGGTGCTGGAAGTTTATGAGACAGAGGTTGTGTGCTGTACGTGTGGCCTCGTGCACAGGGCTGAAATGCTTGGGCTTAGCTCTTGAATGTTCACAATTTAAATAGAAACTTGTTCATCTCCCAACTCCTGCACATTTCAGATCTCCACAGCTCAGAAAGTGGTCCTGGCAGGCAGTGATGGTGGAATCAGGGGATCCCAGGATGGTTTGGGTTAGAAGGGACCTTAGAAACCCCCTCATTCCACCCCCTGCCATGGGCAGGGGCACCTTCACTRCAGCTGACACAGGTTTGCTTCTCACCCTAAATCCAAATCCACCTGAGACTGTGGAACTGAAGAGCTCCACGGATTTACCTTGAACTTCTTCCCTCCCATGGTCTCCATTTCAGCCTCCTTGCCCACRGTGAAGGTGTTGGTGGTGGTGCGGCCTCCTGGGAAGTGCTGTGTCCAGGTGAAGTCATTCCCGTTCTGCACCACCTCCGTCATGATTTTGCAGTTCCTTCCCATTTCAACCTTGTCACTGGAGAGACCTCAATCAACAAAAACACAGAGTTTATCAAACCTAAGCTAAATTTGAACTGAAGGATGGTAATGGTGTTTGTTCTTAGAGCATCTGATTTATTGTTATTTTTTTGTTTCTATTTTTTTACAATATCAAAGCTMTGAGTTGAAGTTACTGGTGTAAAGAAAGATATTGATACATTAATGCATTTGCTAAAATAAATCTTGCGTTCTTTTCCCTGAGAAAAAAAATACACAGGAAAAATGTGCAAAGTACATGAAATATTCCCTTCTCCTTAACCTTAACACTTGCAATGCTTGGAATTTCATGTCTGGGACCTTAGGCCTTTGCTATTCAGCTGCACATACCTGTTTTTATATTTGCTCTTGCTCTTTAAATAGATGTGCATGGAATCATGGAATCATGGAACAGTTTGGGTTGGAAGAGACCTTAAAGATCATCCAACCCCCTGCCATGACAGGGACATCTTCCACTGTCCCAGGCTGCCAAAGCCCCRCCTTGAGCACTGCCAGGGATCCAGGGGCAGCCACAGCTGCTCTGGGCACCCTGTGCCGGGGTCTGCTCACTCTCACAGGGAACAATTCCTGCCCAATATCCCACCTATCCCTGCCTTCTGGCAGTGGGAGTCATTCCCTGTGTCCTGGCTCTTCAGCCCTTGCAAATCATCTCTGTCCATCTTGTAGCCCCTTTAGGCACTGGGAGGCCAAAATTGGGTGACCCCAAAGCTTCTCCTCTCCAGGCTGAACAGTCCCAGCTCTCCCAGCCTTTCCCCACACTGCTGTAACCAACCCATGCCTGAGCCCAGCCACACTCACCAATCTTCTGCACAAAGGCATCGTARTTCTCGTCGCCCTCGAACTCGTATTTGCCTGCGAATGCCATGTTCCCCTTGGATGTGCCTGGGAGAGCAGAACAGCAGCTGGATCAGAGCAGGATGGATCCGATGGGCTGAGCTCTGGCTTTATAAAGCAGCCCAAGCTCTCAGCCCACCCGGCCCACACCTCTTGGAAATAGAGTTTTATGGCCCCTGAGTCAGTCATCGATGCCATTGACCTGGGTGAAAATCAAGGTTATCAGGCAATTGTACATCCTTGCCAATACTCTGGAGATCAGCACAAATCAAGGCCAATGGCTCAGTTTTCATTTTAGTGCAGATTTAAACAAAATTATGTATTTTTACTTGTAAGATTTCACTGGTTTTGCATTCAGGATGGAATAAAGATAATATACAAATGGACCATGTACCAGTTCTCAGCTCTGCAGAGAAGGACCTGGGGAAACTTGTCTCACCACCAGGGTTTCATTTGCACTTTTGATTTAAAAGTGGCTGCAAAATGACTCTGACTGTCCTGAAACCATATTTGACACTTAATTTGATCCTTCAGCTTAATCTCAAGATTACTGAACTCAGCAAAAGGAGCCTTCCTTTCCCAGCTGCACCCCAATGCTGAGCTCCCACCTGCAAAAACCCAACCAGCATCAGCACAGGAGGCAGGGTAGGGGTGGCACATCCATGGAAGCCTCAGCTCTCACTGCTGTGTTCCAGAGGGACCTGCACAACCTTGGGAAGGAGGTCCATGAACTCAGGCCATAAACTCTGCTGCTCACATAAAACTTGCAGGGGACAATTCCACTGGCAGAGTAACACCACAGGGACCTTGGGAGAGAGATCAAACTGGATAAGGAAAGCAGCCCAGTCCTGTGCAAAAGGAAAGAGAATCAGATTATACGAACAGTACTTGAGCTTTTATGTCCTCTGTCCATAAAGATCAGATTATATTGATAGCTGTCCCATTATGAGATATAAAAATGCTGACAGCTCCCCAAGACCTCAGCACTCAGAGTGGGGGGAATGTGGTGGGCACAGAGCCAGGCTGAGTTTGTGGCACAGGAAATCCTCACGGGGTAACTGTTTGAATGGGTGGGTCACTCTTGCCTCACACTGAGCAGTTCATTAACCCCGAGGATTTGGATACCACCCAGTGCTTGGGAGGGCAGGTGACAGACACCCCTGCACAGTGTAGTGGTAAGAAATACTGAAAGTGCTCTTCTGCCTGGAGCTGGGGGTCAGCGCCACTCCAGAGCAGGGTCTGAGCAGAGATCAGGCCTGGACCTGTCTGTGCAGTTTCTCACAGGCATTGAGGATTTGTACCCCTGGTTCTGCTCCCTTCCCCTAAAATACATCCATGTTTCCATTCCTGTCCTTTTTGTTATAAAATGGGGGAAATTCTGTGGTATCTTGGACAATGCAGAATGTCCCTAAGCAATCCCCCAGACACTGAGTCAAGACAGGGTTTGCTCCAAGAATAAAGGAATTGAATCCCTCTGACTTTACTAAAGTGATATCACTTGCACAATCCACCAGGTCACTCATCCAAGCCCCCTGTCCAATTCCAGCCAAAACCAGCTGRAGCTGGGCCAGGGAGGGTCAGGCTGGAGAGCAGGGAAAGGTGCTGGGCACCTCAGAGGGTGCTGGCACTGCCCAGGCTCCCCAGGGAATGGTCCCGGCCCCGAGGCTGCCAGGGATGCACAGGGGGGATTGTTGGGGATCTGGGCTGGGTGATCCCTTCCAGAATATTCCAGGATTCCTTGGTATGATTCTGCTGCTTACAAGGAGAAGTTTTGCAGAAAAGCTCAGTGCTGTATTTGAATGTATTTGAATGTACCAGGATGATGTAAATTCCTAAAGTGCAGGAGACGGTGAACAGGAATAAGTTGTCAGAGAAGTGAAACTCTTGTGGAAGCTCATCCCCAAAGGAAAAGGTCATCCAAAGYGAGCAGTGAATTCCCTGTGACTCCCAAGTCAGCTACCTCTGATATGCAAAACAGCCGAGTCTTCAAATGCTGCTGGGAACAGAGGGAGCTTCAAGGAGCCAAATCAAAGCCTTGGATATCTTTACTTTGAGAATTTACTTGCACCAAGCCATAAATAMAACGTTTTTGCATTCCTTTTGTCTGTGGAGTCCCCTTGCCCTTGGATGGCTCCCAGCAGCCTCCCAGGTTTATTAACCTTTCAGAAGAGCTGCAGAAAGCCGGGGAGATTCACTCGGAGACAAAACGGGGATAAGGGAAGTAATTCCAGCAGCGACTGAAGCAGGCAGTGCCTRTCTTTGAAGTGCTGTTAGAGCTGGATTGCAACTGAACTGGGAGTGCGGATTCAAAATGTCACTGGGAACTCTCCAGTGACCACAAAGTTCCGATTAATGACTCCCTCYGAATGAAACTTGCTGGGGGAAGCCTGCGCAGCCCTAAACCCGCTGCATCTGGCAGTGCTTCAGCAGCTCTCCTTAGGAAATACTAATGATTATTAATTCCTCTGGTACTCAGAGTAATCATTGCTAATGAATTCAGGATGAGCTCATTCGGTGTTAATGTGCTGGGTAATTCCAGGGGAGTCCTGTTACACTCGGCCTTGTTAAGTGCCCGTCTGGTCCGAGGTGTTGGCGCTCTCCAGCCCTAAACAGCAGAGAATTCATCACCGGGATGGGGCTGAACKATTGAACAGCTTGGACAGAGCTCAACTATTGCACAGAAACGCACCTGCCAAACTGCACAGGTGACGCAGTCCCTGCTCCATGGATCTGCCTAAGAAAACCAGGAAAAACAGGATCTCACCAGACATTCAGAGACACAAACCCCTGCAGGGGAGGAAGGCACACATCTTCCAAAAATTTCAGTACTTTTGCGGACTTACAAAAAGAAAATTTGATTATTTCATGTGACAATGGTCTATCAGGAGAGCCTTCAGTCTGTTTAGATCTCCAGAAAGGAAATTTCCAGAAAACAAGACAACCAAAGKATCCRTTCAGGCTGCACAGGCTGGCAGAGCTCCTATAGGAAGGGCTTGGATCCCACCAGTGTCCCTGATCTCTGAGTGGAACCTCAGGGACACTGCTGAGGCCTGGGCTGGGAATTAGAGAGACAGAAAACTAAACCTGGGGAAAATGTACCTGATTCCACAACTTCTTGGGGAGTTAATGCCCTTCTTTCTTTAGGATTCTTCCCTTTAGATAGTTACCCTAAATAAATGTTACCAGTGGCATCCAATGAAACTGGATGGGGATGGACAGCAGAAATGGGAAGCTATCTTGATATTGAACAGCTACAACAGAAGACTTGGATTTTGTTAAGCCAGTTTGGATTTGTGTATCCTGAAAAGCCRCAGGAAAACTAATTTTGGCTGCTCTCAATTTGGCTCCCACAAAACTGCTCAGATTCCTTTGAAGTATCATCTTTGGATTAAGAGCCACTGTGGAATATTTTGAACTCCAATGGTTTTACTCTAATGCAGACAATATTTAAAAGGTTGCTAAAAARGAAGATATAATTCAACTTTATCTGCAGTCTTCTGGTCAAAAAAAAACCAAGATAAAGATCCTCCCTCTTTGGATTTCATATATAGAAATCTATAAAGTTCTAATAAAGTTAATAACTGACAGCCCTAAAGGCAGGAATCATTGCAAYTCTTCTGGACTTTTCTGACCAAACCCCAAAGCCACCCCCTTTATCTACACAGTTCATGGGCTGGGTTGTAAAGATTTTATTACTTGATAAAATCTGTGTGATTGTCCTTGCTGACACATCAGATAACACAGCTCCAAACGGAGCTTACCCTCCAGGGAATCTCATTGGGAGCCTTTCCTCACATGGCTGTGGCTTCCCACCCCCTTCCAGAGCAATCCTGTTCCAGAGCATTCCCTCAGCTRTGGCTCCTGAAGCTCAAAGGGAATGTTCCATTTAAGCACTGCTCTTTTTTCTCTCTAAAGGCACATCTGGTTTGCAGTTGACATTTTGGTATTTCCTGGTCCCCTCCTCTCTGTCACCCTCTGAAGCCTTTCCCGTTCTCCCTTCCCCTGCAGCTCAGGGAGAGCAGCCCCTGCCTGGAGCTGGGGAGAAACCACCCCAGGAACCAACCAAAGAAGGGTTTGATCTGAAATCATCTCAAAGGCAGACAGGAGAAACCAATATTTGAGTGAATTTTTCTTATGCCAGTACAATRTTTAGCAAATGCCCCACTGAAAATATTGATCCAAGTCAAGTGTGCAGGGACAGAGTTTGAAAACATGAAGAGCACAGAAGGATCCATTTCTTTCACTGAAATACAAGAAAAGCCAGTTTTCTTTGCACAGAAAAACACTTCTGGGCCTYAGCTCTGCTTTGATGTGTGTGATTTACAGCAACATCTCGCTGCATACTTTCAGCTCTTTGAAATTGTTTATATTGCCTTGGATACATTTATCAGGAGAAGAAAATACACTTCTGTGGCAGAGAAAATACACACATTTCAYATGCCATTCCTTCCCCACCTCCAAACCGAGCAGATCTTTGCATCTCCTTGTTCCAGGAACTGCTTTTATCACATCTGGTGTCCCTCTTCTGCAGTTGTATTTATCCCTGAATTGCTCAGCACTAAGTTGGCTCTCATTAATCAAACAACATTGATGGAAAAGTGGGAAAAGGAGACTGGGTTGGTAACAGCTGTGATTTTCTCAAACCTGGAATAAACCACATTTCTCTTAGAGATTCCTTCCAGAATCAGAAGAAAAATCTTGAAAACACTTCAAAATCTGATCTTTTGCTTAAGAGTTCCTTTACCCCAGAGWACCCAACAACAGCTGTTTCCCTCCTAAATAGTGGGAAAGTATCAGGGGCAAAAAAAAAAACCCTCTAAAAAGTGACAGATTGGCTCAGTTGTTCAGAGCAGGGTGCTGAGAACACCAGGCTTGTGGGTYCAGTTCCTGTACGGGCCATTCACTGAAGAGCTGGACTTGATAATCCTTGTGGGACCTTTCCAACTCAGAATATTYTGTGATCTGGAATTTTTTAAAACTTGATTTTTTAACCTAAACTTGCATTTTTCACAAGTTCAGATAGGTAACACA